TCAGAAGGAAGATGGGGCAATCTACTTCCGTAGTGATACTGCCTTGGAAACCCAAGGAGGGGTCGCTATGAGTCAGGTCCGACTTGATGGCAAACAACAACAACATCATCATCATATTAAGTATTTTTCTCTCTTATAAAATAATACTTAATTTTCCATATTAAGCTACCTATAAATGTCATCAGAATTATTACTATTGTGGAGCTAGAGAAGATTTCATGTTAAGACATTGCGTATTAGATAGGTCTTGAATGATGATAGATAGATAGATAGATAGGATAAGATATTACAGACACAAGAAGAATAATGAATTTATTATTTCAGGTTAAGGAAAAGGCATGAGCCAGGATGTTGAAACTACAGAGTATGTTAGAAGCACAGTAAAATTGATTGAAACACTAGAAGCACAAATGAGAAAAGGCAGAAATATGAGAAAAGCAAATTAGGCAAGAGACACATTGTACAAGACCTTGGCTGCAACAGAGAAGAATGTATCCTTAATGAAGAAGCTATAAAGAGGCTTTTTGCAATCTGTGGTTTCCCTTTAGGAAAGATATATTTCTAATAAGAATAGAGAAAGTATTATAGTCTGGAAAGTTAAAGCAGGAAACAATTGGCAGACAATTACAATAGTATGGGAGAGTTGTGACAAGAATAATTTATACAACAATATAAAGAAGTTAAAAGAGGATACACAAAATAGAACCTAGAAATCAGTCGTAGACTTGGGAAAAAGAGTGAAAAATGAGTAAAGTTTCTAACTTGGACACCTGAAAGAATGACACTGCCACTAACAAGTGCACTTAATAAGGAGGAAGTGCTTGCTTCACTTATTCATTCAACACTTATTTATGTTTTTGTTGTTGTTGTTAAGTGCTGTTTAGTCGTTTCCGACTCATAGCGACCCCATGCACAGCAGAACGAAACACTGCCCGATCCCGCGCCAGCCCCACAATCCCTGCTATACATCATTGTCGCAGCTACCATGTCAGTCCATCTTGATGAAGGGCCTCCCCCTCTTTCGTCGACCCTCCACCCTACCAAGCATGACATCCTTCTCCAGGGAATGATCCCTTCTTACAACATGACCAAAATAGGTGAGACGAAGTCTGGCCATTCTTGCTTCCAAGGAGCATTCTGGCTGCACTTCCTCCAGGACAGATCTGTTAGTTCTTTTAGCAGTCCACGGTACTTTCAGCATTCTTCGCCAGCACCACAACTCAAAAGCACCAACTCTTCTTCGGTCTTCCCTATTCATTGTCCAGCTCTCACATGCATATGAGGTGATTGGAAATATCATGGCTTGTGTCAGGTGCACCTTAGTCCTCAATGAGATATCCTTGCTCCTCAGCACTTGAAACAGTTCCTTCACAGTTGACTTCCCCAATGCTACACGTCGTCTAATGTCCTGACTGCTGCTTCCGTTGGCATCAATTGTAGAACCAAGCAACGTGAATTCCTTGACAACCTCAATCTTCTCTCCATTTATTGTGATGCTGCTCATTGGTCCAGTTGTGAGGATTTTTGTTTTCTTTATGTTGAGATGTAATCCATACTGCAGACTGTATTCTTTAACCTTCATCAGTAGGTGCCTTAAGTCATCCTCACTTTCAGCAAGCAAAGTTGTATCGTCTGCATATCTCAGGTTGTTAATGATTCTTCCTCCAATCCTGATACCATGTTTTTCTTCATATAGTCCAGCTTCTTGGATTATTTGCTCAGCATATAGATTGAATAAGTGTGGAGAAAGAATACAACCCTGACGCACTCCCTTCTTGATTTTAAACCATGTAGTGTCCCCTTGTTCTGTTCGAACGACAGCCTCCTGGTCAAGGTACAGATTCCTCATGAGTACAATCAAGTGCTTGGGAATTCCCATTCTTCTCAATGTTATCCATAATTTGTCATGATCCACACAATCAAATGCCTTTGCATA